ATGAAAAAATGTTTGTTTACATTTTCAATCCCAATGAATTTATCAATTTTACCCTTAATTGGTTATTTTTTGGATATTTTGCTTTAATTTTTGAATCTAATCTTCAACATTATCATGTCGAAGACACAATTCAATGGGTGAGTGTTAATTTTTACTAAACAACAAACTGTTTCTAACATAATTATTTATATTTTCTATTTATAGCGTGATCTCCTGTCGCAACTTCATAAACAGTGGTTACTGTTAAGGACTTGGATGTAAATATCTACATGTGAACAGGTAAATTGAAAAGCATTATAGACGGACTATAGTAACAAAAGGTAAATTTCAAATATGGCACTGGCTGAATACCTTACCCCCCTTCATTGAGTATCCTGTAGCGAGGAATCAAGAACGTACAACTGAAAAAAATGCTGATTGGCATTTCGATCGTATGTCACAATTTTCTGACGATTGAGATTTTAATGGATCTTGCAAGCTCGTTGAAATTAAAAATGTATTTCATTTCACGACTAATTTATTCTTCATTTCTTATTCAGGGTACTAAATTTTTCCGATAAAAACAGTAGTATTAATTTGTCCAGTCAAGATTCAAAGTCAAGCTCGTTAAGTGAGAGGAGTTTTTCAAAGATAGCTGAGCTCAAGGCTGCACCTGATATTGGGTTTATTTGCAATTGCAGATAATTTTAATCTTGACTGAAAAATGTTTTATTCATGTTACACAAAACCGATTCCAATGGCTCTGGATTATTGCTTAGTCGAAAACGTAAAGTACCAGATTGCTATGCTCTAACTCACGAACGTTTGACGCTACAGACCTCAGACTTGAACGAAGAGCTTAGGCAAATTGCACAATCATAAGTGCGGATGCTCAAGGTTATTCAAGGTCACGTTTTTATTTGATCTCTAATTGAAATTGGAAGGTCATTTTCTGAAATTTTTCTCACCCTATCATGTTAATCACATGTTCGTAACTCATACTAGCTAAAGGATATGAGTGATTTCATACCATCCAGTTAATCAAGCGCATTTCATAAAAATTAATTTATCTTTCCAATGCTGAAAGCTATTCCAGAAAATGACCTTCTAATGTCAATTATAGGTCAAATAAAGAAGTGACCTTGTATAACCTTGAGGAGCCGTCTGGGTCTGTAGCGTCAAAACATTCGTGAGTTATGCCTGCATGAAGGCGTAAATTTGAAAAAATGACCGGTACATCGGGATATAAGTGTAAGTGTTTCACCGGGGATAATAGATCAGTGAATCACCACACAGAAATTTGTTCGTATTCCGTGACTCTGTCAACAGTAAAGGTAATCTTTTGAACAGAAGAAACAGATACACCAGAGGTAAACGAGTTACCCTAGTAATTAAATTGAATTTTAGTTTATTGAATAACTTGCATTAACAATGTTGGTCATTCGGTACAAAGATGGAACTGAGAAGGAAGATGAAGGCAAGACTGAGTAAATTGGAAGTATTCAACAATCAGGTTCAGTTTGGGTAAAAGATTGAGTGGCAAACATGACGAAGTTAACTGACAATTTGTCTTCATTTACATTACCTTTTATACTACAAAAAGGGAAAAGGAAATAGCATTTTGTTTCAGCTTGATTTAATACAAGTTACACCATTTGAAGTTAAATATGTGTTTACTGATGATTGGTTGTGGAGAGGGAATATTGAAGTGTCATTCCCTTACAGATCCCTCCCCTAAGGTCACACTAGTACCTACTTACTGGTACTTGGGTGACAGATACGATACAATACGATGTCGATCGATCAAATACAAGTACATTGTGAATGCTGCATCGAGTAACGGAGAATGATGTTTAGATTGAAAAATTTTATCAAACATTACAAATACAATATATTTTAGTGCAATTGAGTCTGCATTTGAACGACAATTATAAAAAGATGGGATATGAACAGTTCTTGGTAATAAGTAGTTATGATTTCCAACATTAATCATCAAATACGCAAAATCAACAGTTTGATTGCGAACAATGATTATTTCGTACTTTTTTATCTCTTGGATTACTTGAAGTCGAACCTTATAAAATGATGGAGCATATTGAATTTCTTTCCAAGTTAACCCGTGAAAGCTTTGTAACATTATTCTTATTATTTTGCGGATATCTTATTTATTCATTAAAAGTTAATTCACCATATGAATTAATTATCGCAACCCAACATGGAACAAGCTTCATTTTAATTGATCCATCTTCTCCTTCATTTTCAATTTCAATACATTCGCTATCTAATGCGCAAGCATTCAAACCATCTATACCTAATTGAATTATGTTACGTGAATGAGCTATGGAAATGTTCAGGTGTTTGGTTCAATGTTTTCGACAAAATTCTGTTTTCCTTTTAAGGCAAGTCTTCATTGCTATCATTTCCGTTTTCTGGTTCACTTTCTCTGCATTCTGCTGCCTGTATTTCTAGGCTAACTTTTTTGATCTACATTCGAAGTCATTTACTGTCTTTTGGGTTCAACTCTACTACCAACAGGATGATAATTTGTAAGCTCAAATGTAAAAACGTAGTTATCTTTAGCTAACGACCACGAAACATTTCGCAAAAATAAAAAAATATCAATACAAAAAGCAAAACGAAAAAATTGATTGCTGCAACTGCCTCTAAACCTGCTGGCAAATAATTAACTGGTACATCTATTTGTTCTTTGTTCATCTGAGAACATAGTTAAGATGAAGAGAGGTCTAATAAAAAAGTTCATCGTCAGACAAGTTGTCAAGGCAACCATGATCACCCGGTCACTCAGAAAAATCACCCGGTCACTCAATTTAAAATAAAATTGTTCAAATTGGGCCAAACATTGAATCTCTCTACATCATAACTAAAAGCTCTGACAGTTGTTTCAAAAAACCATTTAAAGCTACAACTGGTACAAAGAAGGTAATTGCTGGGAAAATTGTAGCATCTTTCAGCTATGGGGGAAAAGCAGATAGGTCATTCAATATTCACTAGCGAGTCATCAGTGCAAACACTAACAATGTCAACAAACACTTCAACACTATTTATAATGTCCAAAAATAGAGGTTTAATGTTGACATCCTTGTGGTCAATCTTCTGGTCGTTGAAGCTGAAGGAAATCTGAGTTCCGTGCATTTTGAATCGTTTCTGAAAAAACGAAAAAACATTAGTATACAAGTTTCATGACCGCTAACGAAAAAACTTACAAGAACATTTATGATG